ATCCTACCACGCGAAGTGGGGATCATCATCAAACTGGTGTACATATACATAGATAATCCTACCACGCGAAGTGGGGATCATCATCAAACTGGTGTACATATACATAGATAATCCTACCACGCGAAGTGGGGATCATCATCGAATTAATGTACATATATAGATAAGCATACCACGCCTGCATCGTGAGGAGTCGAAATCGTCCTCTGGCAACTCCTAATATCTAAAAACGACCAAGTTGAGATGGGAAGGCCGATGACGATAAACCTACTCCACCTCCACCAGCTGCCTGTCTTCCCCCAGAATAGATGTGCGAACATCTGGATGAAATAGGATCTGGGTATACAACGTGATTTTCCCCAAACACACCATTGCTATCGTCGATCATATACGCCACAGTTAGCACCTGCTTGGCCTTGGCATCATCAGAGGCATAGCCCGGATGCAGATACACCTTCCTACTGGGAGTTTTCAAGTTCTTAGCAACTTTAATGATCTCTTTAAGTCTATAGCAACAACATTAGTTCAAACAATGGTCTCGGTACCGATCCCACCTTGGAAATCCCAGAGTGACATTGTTGTTACAAACACCGGCGAGATGGAAAGTGTTCAAAGTCATCTGGGTGGCGGGCTCTCCAATACTCTGCGCCGCGATGGTGCCAACACCCTCCTCAGCAGCAACTAGGGCCTTCTCGAATCTTTGCTCCACCTGATCATAAGGTCACCTCCCAGTTCCTCCCTACTAACATCACCTCTCCCAACAGCCAATCGACTGCCCTCTGCCCGAGTCTATTCCTTTCCAATAGCTTTCTGGACGCTAGATGGTATCGTAGATGGGATTGGAGGACCTGCCCAGTACAATGACTCAACCCTATAGTGAAGTAGAGACACCTACCACTGCGGCGTTATGCTGAGCCTCCCACCCTAGGATTTGGTCATCAGTAAGGCCTCGAATGACCCTTAGCCTATCCAGGGCCTCCTCCACCTTCTAGACGACCTCTTGAGGAGGATAGAACTAGAATGAAACCATTAGCAGTTATTCTCTTGTTGAATGCTACATCAGGATCCAATTCAGCTGGGAAGAGGTAGTGGCACTGGTCAATCAACCTCCTCACATTGATGGGAACACGCTGTCGTGATTCGCCATCCTTATACACCTTCGTACCTAATCCAATACCACTCCTTCCCATCATCATCATCACCAAGTTGATATTCATCCGAAGTTGATATTTCATGAACCTTACGGAGGGGGACACCATAAGAGACACTCCACCATCCAATCCGAATAACCTTCTGAACACATACGAATAAATACGCCGTGATTCGCTACATAGTTACTCACTTATATAGCCGGGCAATGAATCGCTATATGAGTGATTTGCCCTGACCTGTTGGTAACACTGTTAGACACGACTCTCCCCTAAGCGGCAAAGCAATAACTGTGCAGGTCAATCAACATCCACTCGT